TCCTGGCTCCTGGCTTCGGATCAGCTCAGCTTTGGCCCTTGCGATCACTTGGGGAGTGAGCCAACAGATGGAAGATCTGTCTCTCAATAAATCTGCCTTTCCAATAAAAATAAATAAATCTTAAAAAAAGAAATAAGGAATCTGCTCCCAGATCTGGTTACTGTGACCTAACCCAGTGTAGGCATGCCCCTATCTCCAGATTTTGTGTTCCTCGGCTGACAGCAGGCAATGCCACTCAGTCTAGCCTAGGTCTCCCACCCAGGTGGATGTCTGCTGACCCAGACAATTCCTCCGGTTTCCCCCTCTAAACCACCCTGTCTCAGCTCCCTACCTACTTTTTAAAAAAATTTATTAATTACAGTGCATTATGTGACACAGTTTTATAGGTACTGGGTGGGATTCCTCCCACCCCTTCCCAAACCCTCCCCTATGGTGGATTCCTCCACCTTGCTGCATTGCCACACTTCAAGTTCAGTTGAGATTCTTTCATTGCAATCATTTGCCAAGCATAGGGTCCAGTATCTTATTGTCCAGATAAGTTCAACGGCTTCTTGGGGAGACCATCTCTGGTCTGAAGGTAGAGCTGACAGAGTATCATCCCGATCAATTAAAAACCCAACATAACATTAGCAGCAATTTATAACATTATGGAATTAGTTGACATATCCCTCACCTACTTTCAACTGCAGTGGCCTGGTCCAAGGAATACCCCAAATGTCATTCTTCCCCTGTCAAACATGACCTCAACCCCTCCCACACCAACATGTCCCCAGAACCCTTTCCCTGAGCAATCTGCAGCCTGCCCCCATCCCTCCCCACTTGGGGCTAGGGTGCCATGTTCTAGCCAGGCATTCCCCCGCCTTCCCCACTTCTCTTAAAAAAAAAAAAATAGAATAGACAACTATGCTGGCACACTGGTATAGTTAATACAGATTTGGCATTAACCAGGCTCAGAATGCCCGCCAACTATTGGCTGCTTTTCTCCCAGCAGTGTAATGCTTACCTAAGTACAAGGCAATCTAGGCAGTTGTCTAAGGCCTGGGATAAAATGCTTCATATTTTCATAAAAGCATATGGGAGATATTCCCAAAACTATGACCCTGTATTGTCAAGTTTTTCAGATCATAAGATACAATGTAACATATCCAGTCTCTCCATTACCATTGTATTTTTTGGTTAGGGCCTTAATCCTACAAATGAAATAAATACATTCATAATATTGGCATTTTGAATTATCTCATTAGAATAACTTCCTAATAATAAAGTTAAGTCATTGGATATAAGTACTTTTGTAGTACCTAAAATATTGCCATTTTGATTTACATAAACATACCTACCAATATCAGCATTGGTAATGGTATCAATATTAGGAAATCCTATTTAGAATATTTTCCTGGGAGCAAGCACTTAGCCTAGCCAGGAGCCAGGAACTTCCTCCAGGTCTCCCACACGGGTGCAGGAACCCAAGACTTTGGGCCGTCCTTGACTACTTTATCAGGCCACAAGCAAGGAGCTGGATGGGAAGCACGGCTGCGGAGATTAGAACCAGTGCTCATATGGAATCCTGGTGTGCTCAAGAGTAAGACTTTAGCGGCTAGGCCACCGTACTGAGCCCAAGAAATCTTTCATTTTCTAGAAACTTTTCTCTGCACTCAATATCCACTTTTATTTGAGAAACCCTAGTGCATGATACTCATTTGCTAAAGCTAACTCAGCTTGCTAAGTGGTAATTAAGCAAACAGCTGAAGTAGAGGTTTGGTTGGAGTAGATGAAAAACATCATGAAATTGAGTGAAAGCTTCTTAGAGCTTTCCCTTTTCCTATGGGACAAAGAGGAACTCTCCCTGGGGGCAACAAAGGCTCCCCCCAGGCTCACCCCAAGAGCCCTCAGGGTACTTCCTATGCAAAGTCTCTGTCATCTGTCTGCCTGTGATGTGGTTAAGTTGCTATCCCATAATAGTAGTGTTTGCAAAGAATCTGCTGAGCTTTTTTAGGGTCCTTGATAATATGGCAGAGAACCAGTTGAGCCAAACTTGTGACTGGCACCTGGCCAGGTCACCTGAGACTGAGTGGAGAGTTAACCTCATGGTTTCATTGTTGTGTTAGATGACACACACCTCTGAGGGCGCCTCAGCAGCCCTCCTCAGCTCACGGGAGGCGGGACTTCACACACCATTGGAGGCACCTGCCCTACTCCCTCACTTAACTTCCACCCCATTTCCCCTAACTACATTCCCAAGCTCCTTTTTTAAGGGATATTGTTTTCCCTTATTTCTCTTTGCCCCCCATCCTCCATCCTGCCACCGCCCTCATGAGCCAGTAATAAAGCTTCTCTTCTCTCATAAAATGCATCTGGTGTTTGCCTAACAGCAGTACACACAGGTGGGGCAGGCCTGGTATTTATTCAATAACAGTGCCTTTTGGAAATCTTTGGGACTCTGTTCCATTTAACCATTGCTCACATTGTCAATTCAACGACCTGAGAACATAAGGGGAGCCCTGCCCTTTGGCACGCTGGGAAATTCCGTGTCCTACAGGTTTAGCGAGGACACCGCCAGGCCAAAATGGGAGAAAGACGAGGACTAACTTGCGCAAACAGCATGTGAAGTTCTCAACCAGAAAGTGGAATCTTTCATTCGGGTCCTCAAGACCAGAACAGTAAAGGGTTAGACAAAGGCAAGGGCAGGCTGCTTCACGGCAGCCCTCCCCTCCTGCTGCACACTCTCTCCTCTTCTGTCACATATGCGCTCTTCTATCCCTTGGTCAGTTTTTCTGATGCAAGAACAGCAAAACAAACAAAACGACAGGAAGGGTCACGGGGATCAACCGCCACGTGTGTATTTCTCGATCCTTAGTTTTCACCTGGGTCTTCGTGCCCGAAAAAAAAAAAAGACACAAATCGCTGACAGGTGAGCTCAGGTTCAGCGGATACCCACCTGTGTCCACGACCCCGGTATTTTACAGGGCTGCCGCGGACGCGAGTCCTCGGCTCGGCTCTGGCCAAGGGAGACAAACGCTGGAGGTGACTGCCCAGCCAAGACAAAGGCCAGCGCAGGCCACCTCCACCGACGTGGGCCCTCCGCCCTGCTTCCTTCACAGTCCCCGACCCCACCCTTGGCGACCGGAACTACATCCCTCGGCCTCCGCGCCCCCGCGCGCGGCCGTGACGTAAGCACCCGCCGCCCGCCCCACCTGCTGGCAGACGCAGGACGTGCGCATGCTCGGCAGCCGCCGGCCGCCTGGGTCTCGAGGCGCTGCAATCTGTTGCGCCGCCGCCGCCGCCGCCGCCGCCCGCAGGAGCCGGCAGATCCGGGTCTCGTGGCTGAGAGTGACGTGGTCAATCGAATCCAAACACAGGAGAAGGGGGGCCGTCCGCCGGCGGCCACAGGAGCAGCAGCGGCAGCGGCGTCCGGAGCAGCCGCAGCGTTCCGAGAGCTCCAGGCGGTCCTTCTTGCCGAGAGCGGTTCCCGGCTCCCACCCTCCCCGCCCCGTCGGTTGTTGTCTGGGCGGGTGAGTGTCTTTTCTCCCACCGCCTCACCCGGGGTTTGCCGGGGAGGTTGGGGGGCTCCTCTGGCGCTCTTTCTTGGGGACTGCGACGGCTGCGGCAGAACTGGGGCTGCACCGGGGGAAAAAATCCTGCCGGCACCCCACGAACGTGCGTGCCCCGGGCCAAGAGCGAAGACAGAGAGCCCGTAGTTGTGGTTTTTTGTTTTTTGTTTGTTTTTTGTTTTTTGTTTTTTCCTCTTCAGGAAGCTGGAAATAGGGCTTGACAGGAAAGTGGACGGTAGCCATGGGGTGGTTCTATTTTTTTAAGGGCCAGATCGTGCACACGGGTGGAGAAGTGCACCAGGGAGTTAAAAGAGTGTGTTACAGGATGGAGCTCCTGCTCCGAGCTGGAGCCCAACCTGGGTCCTTTAGCCAGCCGCCTCTGGATAGGTTGAAGTCACTTAGGATGCGTCCTTTGTTGTGACTGACGGCACGCGAAAAAGCTGCGGTCCTCCTGAAAGCGAGAGCTGCCTGACCCCGCGGTGTGTTGGTGAAAGTAAAGGGTTCCCCCCGACACACACACACACATTTTTCCTGCTGTGTGTGGAGTGAGCGGGACCCCAGCCGAAAGTGGAGAGCCAGACACCCCCTGATTGGAACCCAGACCGTGCGGTTACGGGCAGCAGCTGTTACAGCCTTCCCCCTCCATCCTCCAGAGTTTTCCCCGCAAAGTGGCTGTTTAAAATGCCTTCTGGTTTCAACCGAGGCGCTGTGTGGCCAGTGGAATGTTTTTCAGTTGCCCCAGTTGGCAGCAGTGAGGACGTTCCCTGGACGGTCGGACGCGTTAGTCTGGTATCAACTGCACGCCAGCGTGCTGCTTGGGCTCTGTGGAAGAGCCCTTGTCCTGTTGTCCCGAGAGGCAGGCAGCCGGCTGGGCAGCTGGGCGTTGGGGTGCTTGTGTCTGGAGACCCTTCAGAGCTGCGGGGTCCGGGGGGCTGCGTGGCCGGCCACCCGCTTCAGGAGTCTGCTCGCGTGTGTGTGTTCCGAGCTGACGGTGCTCCGCGCTCTCCCACAGCACCCAGCAGAGCCGAAAACCGAGCCTTTGCACCCTACGCTTTTTAAAAGACCCTCTCTCCGCATGCCCCGCACGGTAATAGAACGATAGACGTGTATGTTGATGGCCCCTTGTTGAATCCAAAGGGAGTTCTTCATGAAGTTCAGGGATTTTGTGAGTTTATTCTTGTGGTATAGCATGCATCTTTGAAGTTGAACTCCCATATGTCCCATCGAGATCAGGATTTTTTCCTCCTTGCTTTCAAGTTTCCTCCTTGCTTCAAGTGTAGAGAAAGGATATTATTTTCTTGAAGTTTCTCTTTTTCAGCTGTTTACCTTTCCTATTGACCTTCAACTGAATATTTGTTGCTGATAGAAGTACTTAGAGACAGTGATGATAAAAGCAGACAAGCGAAAAAGCAGAAACCACCAGTAAAACTACCACGAAAATGTTAATGTCCTTCCAGACTTATTTTTTTGCGTTTATGTATGTTTTAAACTACATCATGCAGATACTGTGTTGCATGAACTTTTCTACAGCCTGCCTAGTTCACACGCTAATTTTTTAAAATAAGATTTAAAATTCAATGATAGCGACTTTGAGGCCTTTTATGGAATATTCACTGTGTTCAGAAAACCATAATTCTTAAAATGATGGTGCTGAAAGCATTCCTTCCCTGTAACTATGAAGATATGTTATGATGTAAGAAATTAATGTGTGGCTTAAGGCGAAGTTAGGCTTTGCTTGTTTGAACCTTGGGAGAAGGCGCCTAGCCTGGGTTGAAGGTATGGGAAATCTGCAGAGTTCTTACTGATGCAGTGGTTTGATTACAGGTTTAATTCTGTTCCGTCGTTTTGCTGTGTTCCAGGTGCTGACCAGCTGTTCAAGTTGCCAGCAATAAGGTCCTGGAAAATTTACATTTCCCCATATGTTTTATTAACATTGGTTCTCCTGTGTGTAGCCATTTAGTCCATGTCTTTACCAGTGGTATGTAAGGGATCTACTGTGGAAGCAAATGTTGTTGAGATAACAACTTTAAAGAATAAGTACCCTGAAATATCTCAAATCTGCTAATAATCCGAGTGGGTCCACTTCTCAAGCTTTTTGAACCTTTCTGTCTCTTTCCTTTGATCACTTTAGGGATTAGTTCCCAGTGCTTACTGCTCAGTGTGTGGCTTGGTTCTTTGGTTGTGAAGTACAGCATGTAATGTGTATTCTAGATTTGTCCACTTCTTGGTCTGCACTTCTTGGGCTCCCTGAGCCTGCTTGGACCATTTCTCCGACCCATCTAAGAGAGCCTTTATGGTGTAAATCAGGCTGTCATCCCCTGTGGAAGTCTGCCATGTAAGGTCAGAATGCAAGCCAGACTCCCTACCTGGGCTTGCCCAGTTCTACAAGTTTTGGCATTATCTTATACCTCTCTGCCCAGCTCAGTATTCTGGATTTTATCACATCTGTTCCTTCCTTCAATTCCAGTCCCATTAGCATTATTGTCCCTGGCACTTGCCAGCCCAGCTTCGCTTTGAGGGTCTTTGAACTTCCTGTGTCCTGAATAGATTTGCAGTTCTACTGTGGCAGGTCTCGCTCCTGATATTACCTCTTCTGAGAGTTTGCCTCATGTCTCCGTTTCATTAAAAAAAAAAAATTATTTTTATTTGAAAAGCAATGAGTTACACAGAGAGAAGGAAAGACAGAAATATCTTCCATCTACTGGTTCTCATCCCAAAGAGCTGCAGTGGCCAGAGCTGGCCCAGTTAGAAGCCAGGAGCCAAGAGCTTCTTTGGGTCTCCCCTGTGGGTATGAGGGGGCGGGACAAGGACTCGAGCCATTCTTCTCTGCTTTCTTGGGTCATGAACAGCAAATCAGGAGAAGAGCAGTTAGGACTCAACATCGGCACCCTGTGTGATTCCTGTGTGACAAGCCATGGCCCCTGCCCTCCATTCTGTTTAATTCACAACATTTATCATTCTCTGGAATTCCCTTATTTGAATACTTTTTTTTTTCACTTGAGGGGCAGAGAGAGACAGATCTTTTTTTAATTTTTAAAATATTTTTCATGGTACAATTCTATAGGTTCAGGGATTTTCCCTTCTCATCTTTTTCCCCCCTACCATTTTCCCCTAAATTATTACATATAGTTTAGTTCTTCAACAACAGCCACAAGTCCATCATCCTGCTATTTAAGTGTATCATAACATTATAGGCATATACAATGGTAAAAAGTCCAACATCCTATTGAGAAAGATCTTTTCTCTGCTTAATAACTATTCAATTGCTTGTAACAGCCAAAGTGAGTCTCCCACATGGGTGACAGAGACCCAACTACCTGGGGCCGTCTTGGAAACAGAGCTGGACTTGAACCCACAGACTGATAAGGGATGCAGTTGTCTCCAGCAGCATCCTAACTGCTGTGCCAAATTCCTGCCCCCTTTTTAAATTTTCTGTCTCCTTTGTTGGAATTTAAGCTCTTGAAAACTGGGGACCTTCTCTGTCCTTTTGAAAGATTGTTTTATTTGAAAAGCAGAGTGATATATGTCCTGTTTGCTGGTTAATACCTACAGCTGTCCACAATAACCAGGGCTGAACCAAACCAAAGCCAGGAACCCAGCACCCCATCCAGGGCCCCCACGTAGGTGACAGGGACCGATCACACACTGCCTCACAGGTAGATTAGCAAAAAGGTGGGTGGCAAGCGGACCCGGTGGGAGTGAAGCACACTGCATTATGGGATGTTGGCATCCCACATGGAAGCCTAACCTGGTGTGTCACAGTGTTGGTCTTTTTTTCTTTGCATTGCATTGTGGGTACTCCATGAATGTTGATTAAGTGAAAAAGCTTGATGAAATTGTTCAGGTCCCTGTTGAGCATGCACTCTTATTTTAGGCAAGTTTATTCTGTGAAGGAATTCTTTCAGCTTCTGTTGAAAGTGTAACATGTTACTTCTCCAACTTCAAAAACTGTTCAGATTTGGGCCGAAAAACACTTGCTTTCTACTGAAAACCTATGGGATTCATCCCTGGGAGCAAGGAGTCCTCGGAATCTGCCTTTTCAACAAATGTTTACTGTGATTAAATATATATTGAAGCTGGAGAATGTCGCTTGCTGTTTCTGTGGCTCTTTGAGAGGTTGCTCCTCACTAGACATGATAGCTATCATCTTTTGGAAGATGCTAAAAATCACTTTTTATTTCTCATTTAACTACAGAGCAACTCTGATAGGCTTTCCAGCTCTGATTTTCCAAGCAAGGACACTGAGACGTAGTGAACAGAATCTTGGACTTGAACACATACCTCCTTAGTCGCTGTACCTGTTGGCTTTGAACTACAGTGTTTAGAAATATACACAGCACTGTGGTTAAGATAGGCCATGATTTGGGGGTTTTGTCTATTTGGCCCTGCCTGAAGTTGGACAGCTGGTTAGTGGCCTTAAGAAATGTTCTATCAAGACTCCTGGGTCATCGCGCTTTGCTGTATCCAGTGCTGAAAACTCACCAGAGTGAGTAAAAGTGGAGTTTTTTCTCCTTTCTTGTGTGTTCATATTCCTCACATCTGTCTCTCCTTTTCTATTTATTGATGTGGTCATATGTGTTCTTTCTACATTTTCTCTACTGATTTCAGTGTTTTGCTGAGTTACAGCACCTCTGGATGACCATAAACCTCAGTTTCTCACTGTATGACTCTTTCCCAAATGAGTTCCAATAGTGTTACATGTGTTGCGCTCCTTGGCAGGTGGGTTTCAACCCAGAGGGATGCTAGTTTCTGGTGGTCCTGGCTTCTCAGCCCAGCCAGCTGACGCACATGAGCACTGCAGAGCCATAGTCAGCCCACCTTGTGCTGTTGTATAGTTGTGTATGTATTCCATATTTCACCCGTTTGTTATGGCAAGGTTGTAAACAACACTGCATCAAGCTAACAGAAGTAGAATCTCATTCTTTCGGAAGTTATCTCTGCATGTGTATTACCTTCTGATCTTTTCTTTTTAGAAAACACAGATTTGATATAAATGAGATATTATACCTGCATATACTTGAGTTCTAATTTTTGTTTTTGTTGACCGTAATGAGCTTTTCAGTGTGTCTTTAGAAGCTTTTGAACTGGTTATACATTGTCAGATATTTTGAATAAAGTGATTTAGTGAAAATTTTATTTAATATTGAGCATGACTGTTTGCTTTTCACCATGATAATACTGTGATGAACTACAACTTTAGATAACTAACCCAAATTCTGAATAATTACAGCAACGGCCTAATTTTTTTAAAAAAGATTTATTTATTTATTGGAAAGTTAGATACACAGAGAGGAGGAGAGACAGAGAGGAAGATCTTCCGTCCGATGATTCACTCCCCAAGTGAGCGCAATGGCCGATGCTATGCCGATCCGAAGCCAGGGTCCAGGAACTTCTTCCAGGTCTCCCACGCAGGTGCAGGGTCCCAAAGCCTTGGGCCGTCCTCACTGCTTTCCCAGGCCACAGGCAGGGAGCTGGAAGGGAAGTGGAGCTGCCAGGATTAGAACCGGCGCCCATATGGGATCCCCGGGTGTTCAAGGCGAGGACTTTAGCTGCTAGGCCACGCTGCCAGGCCCAAACAGCCTAATTTTTAAAAAGAGCCATTTAAAACAATTTTTAATGACTTTAAGTTATTTCAATCAAACTTCAAATATATTTAGCATATCTGCTTGCATATACTTTTTTTCATAAAGATTTATTATATTTGAAAGGCAGAGTGACAGAGAAGAAAAGATAGAAGGAGAAAGTCATCTCCCACCTGCTGGTTCATTTTCCAAACAGCAACCATAGCACAGGCTGGGCCAGGAACCAGGAACTACATCCTGCTTTCCCATGTGGGTGGCAGGAGCCAAGGACTTGGGCCCCGTCTTCCGCTGTTGTCCCAGTTGAGTTAGCAGGGAGCTGGATCGAAAGTAGAATATACAGGATGTACATGGGTGCTCTGATACAGGATGTTGGTGTCACAGACAGAGGCTTAACCCACCGAAGCACAGCAAGGTCCTCAGTGTGAAGGTTTTTAATAGAAACTAATTCTGAGGAGAGGCAAGTACGTTTTACTTTTCTAGCTTGTTGATTTTTTTTTTTTTAACTTTTGGTGTTTAAATTTTTTAACTTGGTTTTTAAAAGCATCAACACTTTGGAAAAGGGTCTATCTTTCTAAATCAGCATTTCAGTGTATGGAATAACTTACTGTTTTCAAAGCATTCTACACTACAGTGTTTATTTTGGAGAAAAAAAGTTGCCTTCTTGTTTGTTTTCATATTGAATTTTCATTTCCTCGTTTTCTTTTTTTAAATTGAGGTCAAAGCACAGATGTGAGTTTTAGCTTTGTGAAAGTAAGGAGTGAAACTGGTTTATGCTTCAGTGCACGCATTGACAAGTGTTACAGGTGCAAAACTTTCATAATTTAACAGCTATTAGAGATGCTTCAATTTAGCATAGGGGCGCAGGGAGCAGCTTCATGGAATATACACCAGGCTAAGAGTTCAGTGTTCTGAGTAGTATATGTTTTGTCTTACAAGGTAGATGTTTTTTAAAATTAAAAATTTAATTAAAAAAATATGTACTTATTTATTTATCTATTTATTTGAAAGGCAGAATTACAGACAGACAAGATCTTCCATGCATGGGTTCACTGCCCAAATGGCTCAGCAGTCAGGATTGGGCCAAGCTAAAGCCAGGAGCCTGCAACTCAGTCTAAATATGCCAAAGGGATGACAGAGGCCCAAGGGTTTGGCTTATCTTGTTCAGCTTTCCCAGGCACATTAAGGAAGCTGCATTTGAAGTGCAATAGCCAGGATTCTAACTGTTGGGAAGCTGCAAGTTAATGTGCTATGTCACAGCACTGGCCCCAATATGGATTTTTTTTTTAAAAAATCAGATTCTGTTGAGTATTT